CCATCTCTGTCACCAGCCAGGCAGCTGATTTATCATATATGACAAAAGAAAAAAAATCACAGTGATTTATTTTCATGGAGTTCCTACTTGAGCTCTCCAAACAGATATAATACAGTCTGTCCAACCTTCTCTGGAAGTTCCAGAGTGCAGTCATTTGGTAATATTTTCTCTTCATTGTAAGGAAAAATCATATATGAGAGGCAAAAAAATAGATAGATAGATAGATAGATAGATAGATAGATAGATAGATAAATAGATAGATAGATAGATAGATAATTCAAGGGTAAAAAAAGAAGAATTACTAATTAGTATTTTAGCAATATGGGGATCCTGAACCTAATTTCATAACACTAAAGATGCAAAGGCAAACTTGGACCTGAAGTCGAAGAATGATCACATGTCCCAATCACTATCCATTTCAATGAGCCAAGACAAATCAAAGACAGCCACCAGTAACCAGCTAGATAGCTCATGCGCAGAGACTAACCTGTCACTTGATAATACGTTGAACTTCTTGTTTCTCCTCTTGCCCTCCTAGAGCATTGAACAGTAGCATTGTAGGCTGTTGTCTTGAAACTTTGTTTCCTGATCACTAGTAGATTGAACTCCAGGAAATGGCCACTGTATCAGTTCTGTTTCCCAAAAAAGTCTCTCTGGGATATTTTCACCACATTGAGTTGACAAGATGGGTTTTCAAAGTATTTCCGTTATTTGAAGTTTTCTCAGTGTTGCTGTGGATTATGGTCTGGAGGGGACTGGTTTTGGACTCAATTCAGGAGGCTGGCTTGTACATCACAATATGGTATTCTTTATGGGTCTCCGTTTGCAGCTTATGTCTTAGAAATGCAAACACAACATCATGTGGCCAGTGTATACGTGCAGCAATGCCACAGTTAGAGTTAGACTGTGAGTAAGGAACTTTTCCTACAGAAGGTATAGCTGAAGGAAATGAGCAAGGTCTGAAATGGAGATGAAGCCATGACTGATTAAAATGATTAGAATGTATGGGGAGCATATTGCTCACAATGTCAAGAAGGGGGAAAGGGCAAAGAAATGGTATTAGGAGTTTCCAGGGTCTAGTTTCAGAGTAAAAATCATACCTCTGATTTTTTGTCCAGTGTTGAGACTTGAACCCAAGAACTTACATTTGTTAGGCAGGCACTCAACCGCTGTGTTAAATAAACACTGCTCCAAAAAAACCTTGGAAGAATCATGTAACATTAACAGGTAGAGCAAGAAAAGGACTTGTGGTAAGGTTTCCAAGAGTCTCAAAGTGCTGAGTCACTTGATACTCTCGGCTAAAAGGCCACATGGTAGGATGTGAGCATAATCCAGATTTCTGGAAGTTTCTACCATGATTAAGAAAATGATCTGCAGCTGTTGCCTTCACAGACCAGCGTTCTCCAGAGCAGCTGTTGAGAAGGCAGTGGAGTATGAGCTTCTGCTGAGGGTGGACAGGGAGCAGGGGTATGGGCAGCCACACTCTGCTGTTGTAGTTAAAGGGCAGCACAGGAGGAAATAAACATCGACTTTAGCATGGAATGTAAAAGGTCAGCATTAAGGGCTGCTGAGATGTCACAGTACACAAAGCTGCTTGCTGTGTAAGCCTGGTGACCTAGGTTTAATCTCTAGGACTCATGCAAAGGTGAAAGGAGAGAATTGACTACACAGAGTCCTTCCTTGACTTCCATATACATACTGTGGCCCAAACACACATCATACACACACACACACACACACACACACACACACACACACCACACACACCACTCAGAGATCAGACAGATATACATACACACAATAACTAACTAACTAACTAACTAACTAACTAACTAGGGGTATGCAATCTTTCAGCCTTTCTATTCTGTAACAAACAAGACCTCAACTTTTATTTTAGAGTGACTGCTGGGATTTATAGATTTAAATCCCTTTGGATCCCTAATGAAAGAAACATAGAGCAATTCACAGGTGCCTAAGAAAATCAGTGGGAAAAGACAGATGCTAGAATGTTGTGTTTGACTCTTTTGGTTAGAGACTTGCAGAAATATTTGATGAGGTAAGTTATTTCTAATGGGGATGGGTAACATGAATTTTTAATGTTAGCTATCAAAGTATTATGTATACTACAATAATAGTATAAGCAGTAAAATATTTCTGATATGTACATGGGGGAAATACTATTAAACAGACTAGCTATAATTCGTTTTGTCTTATTATATGCTTGGTTAAAAATGGCCACTCACATAATCAAATGAATACGAAATGAAGTGAACGTAGCGATTCAATTTTAAACATGAAAAATGCTTCCAATAAAATACTTATTTAAGTTTTTGGAAAAAGATATTGCAACTTGACAAAACGCATTAGCATATTAAACAGAATCTTCTGGAAAGGCAGTCACTAGTTCAAGAAGTTTCCATGGAATGAAATCAATCCTTCAGATCTGACTAGAAAGGTAAAACTCATCAAAACATCCACAGATTACAAATATCCATAAGAACCCACAGTGATCTCATCTTCATTGCTGTTGTTTTTGTTGATTGTATTATTTATTTATTTGTACAAGGAATTACTGTGTAGCTTACACTGGCCTCAGATTCTCAGCATCCTGCCTTACCCTCCCATGTGCTGGGGTCACAAGTGTTTAACACCTTGCCCACCTCAGTATCATCATAATTTTTAGTCACTTAGGGAGAAATGGACAATGTAGGATATGTTAATTTGAAAAATGCAAGGAAAAAACCACCAAGCTAAATCATTGCAGCCAAATTAATTAAACCATGCTTACTTGTATACTTGTATACTTGTATACTTGTTACTTGTATACTTGGGCTATCTCTCCGTAAACCTAGAGTTTAAGAAAGCAGCATTGGGCATAAAGAAGACAAGGTTTTTTTTTTTAATAGCTTGGTGGTAGAGGGTTTCCAAATGTGGGATTTGACAGGCAAAATAGGTAGCATTAAAGGGGCAGAACCTAAGCATAACAAATTAGTCATAAGGACCTCCTGAAACAAAGGCATGGTTGCAAGACAGGCATAACAGTGCTGTCATGACAACAGGTAGCCATGGCAACATAGTCATAGGCAGTAATATAACCATTTGAACAAAGGTAGGGTTGCAAGATGGTTATAAACAAAGTTTTTGAAAACAAAGGCATGGGATATATGCCCGTAGATCAGGAGGCTTCAATGTTTGAAGAAACACTCACAATTCAAAATTCTATATGGCATGTATCTACTTATGATGTTCTAATGAACATTACCTGACAGGTGAGTATTGATCAAGAGCTTCATCTTTGTTTAAGATCTAAATTTTAAACACAAAATAGTCAATGAGCAACCCACTTCTTGTCTGACCCCTCTGTTTGTATCAGATAGGAGGCCACTGAATCTCTTTGGTCTGAAAGGGAACGTACCTTTAGAAGCAACTTATGTATCTATCACCTATCCATCTATCTATCTATCTATCTATCTATCTATCTATCTATCTATCTTCTATCTTTATCTCATCTATCTGTTTAATTTTTGCAGCTCAATCTGAGTGTTGATCAGTATCTCTGCTTTTCTTTAACCCCTTATTAAACATTTAAAATAATCCTTGGGATAATAAAAAACCTAATCACCTAAAATCCTCTGCTGAAACTCATCAACTGATAGATGATAAAAAGAAATCAATGCTCTTGGAAGAGGAGCAGTCTACAGTATGAAAGAATGAAGATTCCCTGTGTGCACGGAAGAAGGGCCTGTCTCAGTATAGATTGATCCCACTCACAGTTTCTCACTGAAGCGAGGCTGAGACTTCCGTTTCTAGCAGGTGATGCTGCTTGTTTTTGAGCACTGCTGTTCTGAGGGAACATAGCACAGGGAGACTGTCCAGAGTAAGCCATGAACTCTGCTGCTAAGCCACGTAGGAGCCAGGATGGCAGCGCCCACAGTGTCTTCACTGCTCTGTAATATTGCCTTGTCTCTAGCGAGCAAGCTTGACCCTGAATAGTATTTCACACTTTCTGCCAGTTTGCAAACTCATAAAGAATTTATTGACGCTTGTCATGTGCCAGCTATTGGGTTAGTCATAGGCCCATAAATTAATTACCTCTTAACTCACCACAGAGCTGTTTAAACAAATATTTATTGAGCACCTGATAGTGCCCACACTAGGGACTAATGGGAAGAGGCTACGGCTGGGAACATACAGGTCTCTAAGGCAGTCAATCAAGAGAGCTGGCTCCTTCTTGGTTCTTGGCTTCTCTGGTGTCATTCATATTCAGAAGAGGCCTCGAAGAAAACTTTGGTTGTCTGTGTGTAGGCTAAAGAACACACAACAGAGCAGGTGGTTGGGCTATCCTGGGGCAGGGGCGTGATGCTCTGCATGACCCTGAAGCCCAGCTGGCGAGATGTCTGTCTCAACTTTGCTGACAGCTTGGTCCTTTGGGCCCTGTCTGGGAACAATGAGCACTTCCCTGTTAGTAGGACGCAGGTTGCATCTTCTCCATAGTTGCCTCTGTGTTTGGCAGCAGGGCTCCAGACGTGCTTTTGCTAGAAATTGTGCCTTTCCAATAAAGACAAAAAAGAATGTGTGTAAGGCAGCCTGTCAAAGCTACCTTGAGGCAGCTCTCCTGCAGTGCTTTCATCAAAAATACCCTGTGTGCTCTGCAGAGAGCTGCCCTTTTCCTGGGTCTGCAGACAGTGGTTGATATCGGCCAAAGTGTCTCAAACATATCTAGTTGCCCACTCCCTTTAGTGCTCCGTATTACACCTGATGACAAATAATTCTTTTTTCCTTTCTGTATCTTCTTTTTCTTTTACATTTTTTTTTTTTTTGTAAAAGCCAAGACGGCAGGAGACCTAGAGTCTGCTAGTAGTTCTCTGTTATTTTCTTGTGCTCTGATTTTTTATTTTACTAATGTGATATGATCATACTGAATACCAAATGGGACTCTTGGTGGTGTCTGATTTTTGTTGCTTTGCTTTTCTGAGTCTGTCAACTTTTCTTAGTCCTATAGTTCAACCCCCTACATCAATCTGAACCAAAAATGGAGAGAGAAAACACCAGAAGTGGTTTCCTCTACTTTCTTGTACAGATATCAAGAACAGCCACAAATGATTCTAGGTCTATCAGTAGATGTAGGAGTCTGTTTTTTTTTTTTTTTTTGGTTTGTTTTTGTTTTTTAAAGAAAGTTTGAATGATTACTATCTCCAGCCAGGAGCAATGGTACACATTTACAATCCCAATACTTAGAAGTCTGAGACAGGAAGATCACAGCAAATTTGAGGTCAGCATCAGTTACACAGTGAATTCCAGGCAGATCCAGAAACACAGTGATACTATTTCTCACTCTCTCTCTCTCTCTCTCTCTCTCTCTCTCTCTCTCTCTCCATATATATACATATCAAACGAAACAAATATTGGCAATTCTGAATGTGTTTTAATGGTTTTAAGGTAAAGTTCATGTTTGTTTACTGGTTTTTTGAGTTACTGTACTGATTTTTAAAATAAAGATTGTCAAGTTTATAATAGTTAAACCTAAAATTCCTTGAGACATGGATGCAGTTAATTCCTTTCAGTAGCTTTCTGAGGATTCAAATCGTGGAAGCTCACTGTATACTTTTAGATACACAATGAAAGAATATTAGCAAGTACTTAATATACCTTCTTCATTTCTGGATAAAGAAACATCTCTGAGAGTTGGTGATATCTTCTGGTTCTGAGTAAGGAAGTACTAGGAAGCCGTCCTTTGCCTTCCAGGACTGTGCTTATCACTATACCTGCAGGAACCCCCTTGATGCTTCCTGTTGAATACAGCGGAGATTAGAAGAACACAGGAAAAAGTAAGCTGGTGCCACTGAGCAAATATTCCAATAGGCTACGAAGCAATTAAAAATAACTTTATAAAAATATAGGTCCCAGGGGACAAATAACAGGAAATTTTGGTAGAAATTTTACTAGACTCAGGTAAAGTTCTCCATAAAACCTATAAAACTCATTTAATAGTTTCAAGAAATATATGTGAATCTTTTCCTGCAGTAATTTTAATGAGACTGATAAATCGAGTTCGCCCATAGATGCTGAGATCTCTAGCTAGAAGGGAGAACATTTAATTTTCATATGTGCCCAGGAAATGTCTAAATTTATATTTCTTATCTTTGTTGCTGATAATAAAGATTATTTGACATCGGTGAACATAAAAATGAAATTGGTGGCGATAATTCTCAGTGTTCATCCACCACCTACCGCGTCTCACTGAGAAGAGGCCTCAGATCTTCACCTCTCATGACCCCAGGTACTTCTGCTTGAATTTCCTCCCATCCACCCAATGCCTTTTTCATTCTTTCCAGCGAAAATGCAGGCAGTCATCATTCACTCCCTCGCCTCCTCACAGTGCTTTTGGTTCTTATTTTGAAACTCAGACAGATTGTGTCATTTTCTCCAGTGCCTTGAAAGAAAAGTCCTGCGCTGAGAGCAAAGTGCTCAGAGCCCTTACAGCTTCACTCTACAGACACTTCGAAACTCATCTATTACTAACTCCTTCCTCATAAACTTTGTCATACACTCCCAGCATGTACTGTTCACACAGAAGTAAGAAACTCAGAGAGTTCACTTCTCAGACTAGAGGCTGAGGACTCACACTGTCGGGTTTCAAAATCCAGCTCTGCACTGAACTCAGTGACTTTTCTGTCTTATTTTCTTTGTATGTGAACAGTATTGTGGGTTCTAGAGAACCTCCCTCACATGATCAAGAGCTGGGTGATCTGACCCAGGTCCAGGCTTCGAGCATACAGCTTCATTTGGTCCTGGAGCAAGCTCTTCACTCTTCTCATTTGGGTTCCTGAGCTACTCTTGAAGCCCAAAGGCTCATGCTCAGCCTACAGACTTGCTCTTGGACTTTCCATTAGAAGCTAAAAAGATTGTATTCTGGATTCATGCAGTGATTTAATCCATTTTGTTTTCCACTGGAATTACTCATAAGTTTTACACTGTCTTCCTTCAAGAAGAAGAAATCCGTCACAGCAGAGGACAATTGTTTCTGACAATTTTTCTATCTGCTCCACAGGTGCAGTGCCCAGCACTTGACAAGTGCCCCACATCCACAGAAACACAAGAAATTGCTCTGCTAATTAAGGTCAATGTCTACCATTGGCCAGAAAGCCTTCTGGACTCAGTGCAAAATGGTGGACTTCCTTCACCAGCAGGACTTCTTTGATATTTTCAATGAGGGGGGGTCAAAATTCCCATGCACCTCTAACTGCAGAATGTCACATAGACCTGGTTAAGATTCCATGTTCTACTTCATTACTCCTGATAAGAACCCATTCATCTAGCACATAGGAGATTTCTAAAATGCCTCTCTATGCCTATGAGGCATTTCTATACCTTAAGCCTTCAGCCAATGACTATTGCCCATATTGGATACTCTGGCCCTGTCCCCAAAACTGTATAGTATATGAATCACCCCAAGTAAAGTGCTCTTTCTTACCTCAACTCATCCCGGTGTCATCATTAACTTTCATCATACTCATAGAGCGTCCAACACCACCTCCCTCACCACCACCCTGCCCCCACTGATATTGGCCAATAATCCCAGAGGAGGCACAGAAAGAGATATATACATTATTGCTTTATGCTCCAATTCACGCATCATAGGAAAGAGGTCTGAACTGAGACTTCTACTCTTTTATCCCTATGTAAAAATTAATTCCATTTATCCCATAACTATTTATTAATTATCCAGCATTTGAAGTCTTCTAGGCACTAAGGACACAGGAACTTAAAAGAGGAAGAAAAAATAATTTACAAGATGATCTTCTCCATGAGGACTGGTTTTCATCATAGGAGAAGGCATCATGCAAGCTTCTAAAGAAGAGAAGAAAGCAACAGTCCTACCAAGCTATGATGGTTATGAACCACTGTGACGAACATGGCAGGATAACCCTAAGGATGTAAGAGTGACGCACACACTTTGGTGGCAACCAACAGGACTTAATGCTTATTCATCAAGAGAAAAATATTTTCTGTTAGAAACCTTGAGTAGTGAATCATGGATCTTTGAGGAGAACCTACAGTCATTGCTTTACTAAGCTAGCATAATCTTGAACTAAATTCTAAATATTTGTCCTTATACTCATAATAAACGAATTCCTCACCCCTCATCAAAGAAGCTCTTCTTTGCCACAGATGGGAGATCAGTAAGGAAAATGACAACCAAACAAATTGCAGAGTTGTGGAGCTCAACCCACATCTACAAAACAATTCCAACAGTTAAAGCTTGCAGATGATTTTGAAAAAGGAGTTGGTAAGAGCCAGAGGATCAGGAAGTTTGTTGTAAAACTGTGTCTCCTTGTAATCTCAGAAGTTATACCCATAAAGTCTCACCAATGACTGCCCAAAGATGAGCTGAACAAAGACAATAAGAGAAACAGTAAAGTAGGTGGGGGAAAGCCCCCAAGGACTCAACCTTACACAAAGAGCTATAGACAACTAAGAAATGTGCAGAGAGGGAGAAATAGCCTTTTTCAGGAAAGAGTATACCAATTGGCTATCCAATATCAAATCATCAGGACTGACAAACAAAAATACAAGTAACGTTATACAGACCAAAAAGAATGAATTTGAAGAGAGCAAGGAGAAGTATATGGGAGATTTTGAGAGAGACAAGAGAAGGAGGAAGTGGTGTAATTATATCATAATATCAAAAATAAAAGAAAGAAGATAAAAAGACGTACATCTTACCATCAATGAACTATTCCTATGGATGGGAAAAATTGAGAAAGATTACTAAGATGGTAAGTTCCAGAAGAGGAAGACAAAAAGCAAGAAAGATGGGTGGATGAAAGATGCTGTGTTAACTTTCATTTTGAAGGTAGACTTCATTGAGGATGACACTCTAGCAAAGACTTGAAGGACACTTGCACCTATCCAGAAACAGTTTGCTAGGAAGAGGAACAGCTATGTACAAGCATATTCAAGGGGGGTCTGAGGTACAGAGGAACACAAGGCCAAGGACAAGAGTATGGTTAGAGGTGACTGGAGTTAGATCTCATAGAGACAATGGAGTTCATGCCATTTTAGCTGTACAGCTTTCCTCTACCACAGGCCATCCCTAAGATCAGTCTCTTCCACACTACCAAAGAAAACTTGGGGGTCTTCGTTTCTGTCAGTCTCTGCTCTGTATATTTTGCTAATAGTTCTGGATGTTCCATCTTTGTTAACAAATTATCCTCTGATGCACAAACACATCTTCTTATTTCCTTGCCTCAGAAGATACTTATCAGTTCTTCAGTTGGCCATTCTATGACAAGAGTTACAGCACACCTTGGAAACTGTGCCATCAGATACCTTTTACTGTTGTATGGACTCTGCCAGACTTACCCCACTAAGGTCTTTTAGTATTCCTGAGATGCTGATGGTGACTTCTCTCTCACTGATTTATGCCTTTGACATGTCTTTTTTTGGTTGTTCAACACAGACCAAAAACTTCTAGGTTTCTGGATTATCAAGACTTCTGGGTTACCACCATATCTCTATTCTCAAGTTACTATCCCTTAATCATTTTGATGTTTCTACTCTTTAAAATTTGGATCTTATTTTGAGTGAAGAAACAATCTATCTTCTTCATTGTTTATTTGCAAGTTTCCTTAAAGTTTCTGAAAGACAAAAAGACCATATAATCATTCTGGGTGTCATCTCTCTTAATTTGTAGTCTCCAAATTTGAGGGGATTATTAAATCTGCTTGCAAATTAGCTATATTTTTTTCACTTTTTTTTCCACAAGTGACAAAGATAGTCTTTAATCAAAGTAAGAAGACCGACCACAGGGCTATGTAAATTTTAATTAAAAAAATCAAAACTTATTATCAAGCCAATAGATACAAGGCATCAAAACTCAAAATGCAATAAGGACCTGTAGTGCAAAAGTCTTTTGGATCATTCTTTTCAATAAGCAGATTCTTTTCCAGAATCTAATCTGTCTTAAATTTCTTACACATTCATGCAGAGATGTATTGTGAAATATAGACACATACCTTCGTATATATGCCTGTAAACACAACACATAATTGTTTGTGTTTGGTTACTATATTAAGTAGTTACTTTTTGTTGCTGTAATAAATACCAGGCCAAAAGCAACTTAG